TACTGCATTACCTGTCAAAATAAGGCTTGTTGGAAATCCTAGTCCATCAAGAAATTTCAAAAATTTATTTTTGATATGAGTAGCCACAGCTGTCATATACCCCATCCCAAAAGGAAGAACTGTCTTAAACAAGATGAATGGAAAAGTCTGGTTAATTCTGAATTTCATGTAATGATAACATATTCTTTCATAAAACTATGGCCTGTTTAAGATGGAACTTTGCGTGTGTCTGCTGGGGAGGGTGGGGTACGTGTGTATGGCATGTGTTCTTGAAATGATGTCTCTCTGAATATCCAAACAAGTACTGTACTGTAGAAATGCTCTTTGAAAAAGTCTGTCAACTGACCATGATCAATCTAGCATATATATATGTTCAGTGGGCTGGCCTTGGTCCTCAGGGACAGTGTGTGACTCTAGTGGTCTTCCTAACCAGTCTCTTGCCTGAAGATATCTGGGACCTCTACTGGCTTTAATGACAAATAATGTTATGTTGAGGTTATGCTTCCTTTGTTATTTGCTGATTTTCCTACTAAATGTAGCATTTCAATTAGATCCAGCTTTCACATTTTGAGATAATTGTAAAAAGAATGAAATTATGCAGAAATGGCCAATATCTCTTATCAATCTGTTCTTTTGGTAACCCTCATGCACTATAAATTGTGTACAGTTAAAATATATATATATACACATATATATATTCTTACATGAGTAAAAAGCACCCTCTCCCAGCAATCGTATGTCATTGGTATTTGAAGAGAATTCCCAAATAACTCATTGCTGCTGCTGCTGTTTTTGATTTGTATGGGTTTTTTTGTTTTGTTTGTTTTTGTGTGGTAAATTGATATTTAAAAAAGGAAAGGAGAAAAATCACGACTACTGTTTACAGACTGAAAAATTATTGCTTTTTATACTACTGAGATCCTAAGTTAAGACTCTCCAAAGCAAACATTTGGTTTAAATCATTTATCTGATGTGGATAAAAGGTAGAGAAACTTGTAGTGTTCTCCACATAATGGAAAATGTAAAAATGCCTAGTTGTGTTGCCCATCAATTTTGTATATTTTCATAATTTCAATTGTTCAAAATTGCATTATATTTTGCAATCACTATGTTCAATCTGGATTTGTCTTTCATTTTAACTTTTAATATAAAAAGGGGTTTCAATGTATCTACAGGCTTGTTATTGAAACTTCCTACTTATTTGATGTGATTTATTAATATGGGAAGTATATATTCTTCCTTCTTAAGTAAGTGAAGCATAGCAAGTCTACTTTAAACTGGATGGGTTAATTTATATAAACATTTTCATTTTAAGTTGGCATTTCTGCCTGGTTCCTTTTTGTTCAGATTCTTAGAAGCCACAACCTTCTAAATGGTGTAATTCATCTCAATTGTGAATTTAGTGCTATATCCCAGCATATTTTTAATATTTGAGAATTTAGAATTTTTATTTGAAGTCAACTAGTCCTTTTGGCTCAAAAGTTAGTACCTTCTATACTTGCAGTTATTCAACATACATGTACTGAACACTTAATTAGCATATAGCAGATTCCACTTTAGGCTCTGCTGAGATGCTGTGTCCTAGTTAGTAAATGAGTAACGTATATCCCAGTTAGTGGCTGTGAGATGGGGAAGAGGCAATAAAAATATTAGTTTGTAATTACATCCTGCTTAATAATGTAAATCACAGTATGTGAATTGAATGTGTCTAGATGGTCACTTCAGACTGGGTCACAGGAGGACCTCCCAAGTGGTGACCTCTGATTTGAATGATGAAGTCTCAGGAAAAAAGTAACACATATGCAAATGCCCCAAGGCAGGAGGCTGCTGAGCCAGTTCCAGGAAGTGAAAAAATGTTCAAGTGGCTGGGACTTAATGAAAGGGGTAGGATTGAGATAGAAAGTTGAGCAGGGATGAGATCCATCAGGACTTTGTAGTCTGGGGAAGGAATAAGATTTTATTCTAAATTTAGTGGGAAGTTACCGGAGGATTTCAGGCAGGCTGATGACATGATTTATCCAAGGGAACTCAAACCCACAAGCTGGGATTCAGAACTTATTCAGGTACATTGACAACATGGTAGAAGTAGGAACTTTTTCTCTTTTTTACTTTCTGTCTTGTCATATTGTCCCTTTGTATGAGCCCCCAAAGAGTCAGTTTTTGCCTCTTCAGTTATGAATTAACTCCATCCCAAGGTTTTTCTTTTTTTTTGAGATGGAGTCTTGCTCTGTCACCAGGCTAGAGTGCAGTGGCATGATCTTGGTTCACCAGTCTCCGCCTCCCAGGTTCAAGTGACTCTCCTTCCTCAGCCTCCTGAGTAGCTGGGATTACAGGCGTGTGCCACCACACCCAGCTAATTTTTGTATTTTTAGTAGAGACGGGGTTTCACCATGTTGGCCAGGATGGTCTCGAACTGACCTCGTGATCTGCCCACCTCGGCCTCCCACAGTTTTTCTCTAGCAAAAGATAGGTACTCGGGCATACCTCGCTGCCATTCTTTTCTCCAGAGATGGGCTCAGGTTTATGCTTTTTACATGCCGTTTTTTTAGATGCTGTTCCTGCTTTGATGCAGACATGTATTTCATAATACAACTGGAGGGTAAGCTACCATGAACCAAATGCTTATACAAATTATTTGTGGGGTTCCTACGGAAGTTTATGCTTCAGAAGTGCAGAGCTTTTCTGCAACCTTCAGCTTCCATATAGTCCAGTAAATTTAGGCCTCAGATACTGTAGTTTTGGTTTTTTTTGAGACAAAGTCTTGCTCTTGTCCCCTAGGCTGGAGTGCAGTGGCGCAATCCTGGCTCACTGCAACCTCCACCTCCTGATTTCTAGCGATTCTCCTGCCTCAGCCTCCCCGAGTAGCTGGGATTACAGGCACCTGCCACCACGGCCTGCTAATTTTTATATTTTTAGTAGAGACGGGGTTTCACCATGTTGGCCAGGCTGGTCTTGAACTCGTGACCTTAAGTGATTCGCCCGCCTTGGCCTCCCAAAGTGCTGGGATCACAGGCGTGAGCCACCACACCGGCCCAGACACTGTACTGTTTTACAAATCAGAAAAGTAGTAGTTGTAGGTAAGACTACTATTTAATATTGAAATTATTGAACTCTCCTGCAAACGATTCAAACTTCCTTAAGCTTTGAGGAAATGAGCTAAAATCCAGATCCCCCTCACCATCTCTCTCACATTCTTAAGTCTTGTTGGCCATGTTCATATTCCCAGATTAGTTCCCTATGTATAATCTCTGCTGATGCAGTTCCAACTCCAACATTTTTTTTGTGGTGCCAATTACCAAGAACTATTTGTAAATTACTCTTGGCACCATTTGAGATAACTTGTAAGTTCCTTAAACACAATTCATGTTGGATCCAGTGTCTGCTTTGCTTCAGGTTATCAGGAAACTCCCTTAAAATTGAAAATACTTAACCAGGTGTGGTGGCATGCACCTGTACTCCCCAGCTACTCAGCAGGCTGAGGTGGGAGGATCACATCAGCCTAGGAATTCAAGTCTAGCCTGGGCAACATAGCAAGATGCCCATCTCTTTTAAAAAAACAACTATAAATATTTGATTGATTCTGGGATTCCAGTCCATAGTCTTCATTAGAATCTGAGTAGCAGTACTTGAGCCACAGGATTAGTAAATGCTAACAGGTAGAGGAAAGGAATCCATTTGACTTGGGTCAGGGAAGACTGGATTTTATGTGACATATGTAAATCACAAGACTCTAGAAAGAGGGCTCATCTTTAATGAAAACTATTGGCTAACAAAGGGCCTCTGACATACGATAATGTAGTTTTGCCCAATAGCTCAGGTTTCTTCAACTCAAGGCCCTGGGGTTGTAAAGAACCATACCCAGCCAGAACGCATCCAGTGCCGTGCCCATGGAGGTAGTCACATTCCTGCTTCTTAAAACTGAGAATCAAGATTAGTCTTCATTCACGGACTGTGGATGCATTTAATATTAGAGTCCTTTCCCTACCTGCCATTTGTCATCTTATTCTAATTTCTATAAAACAGTGAATACTTTGCTCTTTGGAAGTGATCCTGTTTACATGGTACACACTAGAACAGCCAAAGCAAATTTACCAGTTAGAAGTGTCCAAAAAGATCTTCCAAAAGTTTCAGTGAGAACTAAAGTAATGAGAAGGGAAAATGTAGAAATTATTAGTCTTTCATCATATGTGGAGTACGTAAGCCGTCAGCAGGTGGATGTTTAGGTTTAAACATCTCTTACTTACTTGGTTTGAATTGTTAGCCTAAGCTATCACAATTTTTTGTCCCATCCAATTCAACACATGGAATTTCCTCTATTTTTTTGTTTCTAGTAACTAAATATACCAACCTGGATAAAATGGAGGAAAATAATTCAAGGTCTTATTTGCCAACTCCATTCTTTGTGTGGGTGCAATTAGACATACTTCAGGAGCTGTGGTCTGATAACATTTTCACATAGTTAAATATGAAAGTAGGGCTGTCGTGAAGCTCACTATTGCAGATAACTGCTTCTGAGTCTGAAGAAAAGATGTGAATGTTGGCACAAGTGCTCTTTAGTCTGCTTTCTAGAAGTTATAATTTAGTGACAGATAGTGATTTAGATGGAAAATATTTTTTAATTTTCAGATTGGACTGGACTATATCATTTAGCTGTGTAAATCCAAGTCACAGAATATATCAGTAAAACTAATAATTTGCTATGTGTACCTCACAGAGCACAAAATAATCACACCATGGTCCATCAATGTTGGTTCAATGTATTCATCAATACTGCTACTGAGTTTTAAGGACTGGAAAATGGACAACACACCTGACCATTAACAGTCAATCCATGTCAGTCTGAATATCACTGGAAAATAACAAAGGTATGCCAGTTTCCACAGTGTTACGAGGATAGTTTATTACGCTGGGAAAGTGGAGTCCATACCAGCTTAGATTCAAAGAGGAAAGCAGGTCATAGACCAAAGTGTAATTTGAAAAGACAACAGAATGGCTTCAGGTCCACTTAACCAAAACACTGAAACTTTAATTGAATGAGAATTACACCTGTCAAAGACCTGGGCGGTATACTCCTCTCTCCTCTACAGCACTAATTCCTTCTGAGGGGTCATTTCACCAGCCACCTGAGTAAGCGCTCCAGCTATCCCCAGACCAGCTAGAGACATCCCAAGCATGGTCACATCAGCATCAATGTCCAGGCATACTCAGGGCTCAGAATCGTGGGTTAGTACCACTTTTCCCACTACCCCCTTATATTCCACAAGGGACCACAGCCAGCAGGTTAACTCTCCCCTCCCTACCCCCACCAAACCCTGGAAAACCACAGACAGCCTTTTAAAGCTCCTCTTTCTCAGCCCCCTTCTTCTGGAAGGCAGTCAGGATGTTTAAGCTCTTCTGGAGCTCCTCCTTCTTCCCATCACTCATCTTGTTCTTCTCAATCAGCCTGGCAATCCGTGTCATCTCTGATGCTGGGAAGTCCTCCCCTTGGTCTAAGATCTTCCCCATGATCTTCAGGTATTGCTCAGCCCACTTCTTCTCAGTCTCCTTCACACTTGAGAGGTTGTCCTGCCCCCGCTTCAAGAGGGCCTGGCGGCCCTCCACACCAGAGGCCCTGATGAACTCCCCGGCGAGAGTGTCGTATACAGGCAGGCAACCAGGCATACCTAGGTAGACCCCTTGCCCCTTCAGCCAGCGCTGGATGGCTCCAACCTTAACTGCCCCAGTGTATGGGACTGGGTTCTCAAAGTCCCCATCCCGGAAGAGGTAGAAGACTGGGTAGCTCTCTTTGTCCAGCTTGTATTTCTCACTCAGTTCCATGTTCAGTTTGTCACCATAATCTGTGAGCAGAAACCAGACACAAAAAGCAAGACCATGAGGAACTCAGGGCAGAAAATTGCTATGGGACCTAGCTGCACTGAAGGGAAGAAGAATTTTCTTGGCCATGTAATGGTTCAAAGCGAGGAGCAACCATACATACCTGGGTTTGAATTCCTCCTCTACCACTTCCTAGCCATGTAGCACTAGGCAAATAATTAAACTCTGAACTGTTAGATGAAAAAATGGAGATTCTTCTGAATATTTATTATATGCCCACTATGTGTCAGATGCTGTTCTAGGTGCTGAGGGTCTAGTTGCGATTAAGAGTATTAAGCTCGGCTGGATGCGGTGGCTCATGCCTGTAATCCCAGCACTTTGGGAGGCCAAGGCGGGCAGATCACGAGGTCAGAAGTTAAAGACAAGCCTGGCCAACATAGTGAAACCACCGTCTCTGCTAAAAATACAAAAAAAAAAAAATAGCAGGGCATGGTGGCACATGCCTGTAGTCCCAGCTACTTGGGAGACTGAGGCAGGAGAATCGCTTGAACCCAGGAGGTGGAGGTTGCAGTGATCTGAGATCGCATCACTGCACTCCAGCTTGGGCAACAGAGTGAGACTTTGTCTCAAAAAAAAAAAAGAAAAAAAGACTATTAAGCTCATTCTTCTAAGGGAGAGAAGAGACATAACAAACACATAAACATAGGTGATGAGTGGCATCGGGAAAACAAAACAGCATGATGTGACAAAGTGACTGGGTAAGAAAGCCCACTTCGGGTGGTCATGGAAGGCCTCCCTGTGAAGGTGACATCAGCTAAAGGACCTGAATGTCCTGGAGCCAGCCACGCGAAGATCTGGGAAGAGTGTCTCAGGCAGAAAGGACTGCAAGTGCAAAAGCTCTGAGGCAGGACTAAGCTCAGGAGTTTTCAGTCTCCTGAAAGGCCAGTCTGGCTGGAGCTGGGTGAGAAAGGGGAGCATGTGGAAGGGAAAGAACACAGTCCCTGCCACATGGGGGCTGTTGGGAGGACCGGATGAGGGAATATGTGCATGATACTTGGCCAGGTTAAATGCTTAATATGTGGTAGCTGCTGTTAGTATCTGCAAAACACCCTTCCTAACGGGCAGTAGCAGCCCCAAGGGCTGATGCTGTGACAACTGGTTTCTTACACTTTGCCAAGAAACGGCTAAGACCAACTACTAGTAGTGGTAGTATTGGATGCCTAGGGTTCCAAACCTAGTTCTGCCACTTAACAATTCCACATTCTTGAGCAAGTTACTCTAAGCATCCATTTCTTCATTTGAAACAATGGAGGTAATAGTACCACATGGGACTTCCTTCATAGAGCTCTTGCAAAGATGAAACACATGTAAAACACTCAGCACAGTGGCCTGGCACACAGTAAACATCTGATAAATGTTAACTATTATTATTTTTCTAATAAAAGCACCAAGGGAGTTACCTAAAGTTGAGTCAAATCTGACTGACTGTCCTGGAGAGGTGTGCCAGCTATCTCTATCTACCCAGGACCAGACTCTCTACTAAGTTCCCAGCTTACTACGGAATGGAGGCATCCAAGCTGGGCGGGAAGTGAGACAAGTAAGTCCCTGCCTGGGACTAAACACTTAGGTGGAGCTCTGGATGAGCCACTCCATAGCCCACAGTCCTTTAAGCTTTGAGCTTCAGGTTTTTTTCCTGAAGTATAACATGGAGATAATACATCTTGCTTCTCAGGTAGAGTTCAAGTGAAGATTTAAAATGCAATGGGGGGCGCAGATCTTTACCCTGTCGACCACTAAATGCTGGCGACTACTGAAGCTATCACTGTGGTTGGGAGGTGCCCTTGGATTAGTGGTGGCATCAGTGCATTTGAGCTAAAGCCAAAACCAAACAGTTTTGGTACAGAAGCTGAAATGAAGACAGAAGAACTGACTATGCAGTCCACTAGGGGACATAGCACCCCCTCTGCCCTCTTCATTCTGTTCCCTGCAAGGAGAGCTCAAAGTTCTCACAGTTTAATGTCAGAGAGGGGTGGAATGTCAGGGGTTCCCTTCCCTTCAGGCACCTGCACGGCTGAGCTGAGATTCCATGGTCCCAGAATCTGCTCAGGTTAAGCCTACTATGGGCACCAGATTCCTTTAGAGGCCATGAACCTGTTTACTTACACTCCTTGAGGGTGGCTCAGAAGGAAAGATGCTGGGTACTCCTCTTCCAAGTGGAAACGATTCCTAGCTTCCTCCCTCTCTGCCCTCCCCAGCCATCCTGGACTTGTCCATACCTGAGATCCCCACCTCTGCCACCAAGAGATCATCGCTGGAAGCCGAGTTTTCAGCAAGACGCTTGAACTCATCCTGCTTCTCACCGTAGGGGTACTGGGTGTCGAACTTCACCAAGACGAACTTGCTTTTGGTAATGACCTGAGGGCGTATAGAGCTGAGCAAGTGGGTGTTCCAGGGACTTTTGGGGCTAACTCCCCTTCCCAAGGGGCCCCTGTTTAAGAAATAGAGTGGAAACAAGCCCACAAGCGAGGCAAGCTCTCACAAATTAATATTTATTCATTCACCCATTGACTTATTTAACAATTTAGTAAGTGCCAGCGATGTGCAGGGCACCCCATTAGTACCTGTTCACACTAATCAAAGATATACACAACCCTGTCCAGAATAAACAAGGCTGCAGACATAATAAGGCCTTCTCCTGCAGGGTTCCTTTCAGTTAGGTGAAGGAGACCCTTTGCACACTACATCAGCCCCTGTCGTGCTCATCATCCCAGGAGGCCTTTCTCAGTAAACCCTGAACAAGAAATCTGACAAAAATAAACAAAACCACCTACAAAGGAGTTGGCATCATGGAGGACGTTTTGGCTAGATAGGCTGGAGTTTGAACCCAGCAATTTCAGGGCAGTTAAGTTAGTGAGAGGCCAGGCGTGGGACAATGTGCTCTCCCTAGACTACACTTCTCTCTGGCTAGATCTCTGGGTTTTAAACTGTTGGGACGAGACATTTAATTGCAGTAAAATTCACATATTTGCCATTGTAACCATTTAAAAGTGTACATTCTGTGTGATTCAGTGCATTAAGAATGTGCAACCATCACTACTATCCAGTGCCAAGAACATTTTCATCATCCCAAAAGGAAACCCCATACTCATTATGCAGTCACTCCCCAGTCTTCCTCCTCCCAGCCCCAGCAACCACTAATGTATTTTCTGTCTCTATAGATTTGTCTATTCTGATGGAAATGTACAGTATGTGGCCTTTTGTGTCTGGCTTTTTTCACTTAGCATGTTTTCTTTTTTTTTTTTAAGACGGAGTTTCACTCTTGTTGCCCAGGCTGGAGTGCAATGGTGCGATCTCAGCTCACCGCAACCTCTGCCTCCCAGGTTCAAGCGATTCTCCTGCCTCAGCCTTCCCAAGTAGCTGGGATTATAGGCATGCGCCACCAAGCCTGGCTAATTCTGTAATTTTAGTAGAGATGGGGTTTCTCCATGTGGGTCAGGCTGGTCTCAAACTCCCGACCTCAGGTGATCCACCCACCTTGGCCTCCCAAAGTGCTGGGATTACAGGCATGAGCCACCACGCCCAGCCAAGCATGTTTTCAGTTTATCCATGTTGTACCATGTATTGGTACATTGTTACTTTTTATGGCCAAATAAATATTATATTGTACAGAGGGACCACATTTTATTTATTTGCTCATCAGCTGAATGTTTGGGTTGTTTCCACCTTTTGGCTACTGTCAATAGTGCTGCTATGAACATTCACATAACATGTTTTGTTTGAACACCTGTATTCCACTCTTTTTTTTTTTTTTTTTTTGAGACAGAGTCTTGTTCTGTCGCCCAGGCTGGAGTGCCGTGGCGCCATCTCGGCTCACTGCAAGCTCCGCCTCCCTGGTTCTGGCCATTCTCTACCTCAGCCTCCCGAGTAGTTGGGACTACAGGCACCCACCACCACGCCCGGCTAATTTTTTGTATTTTTAGTAGAGACAGGGTTTCATCATGTTAGCCAGGATGGTCTCAATCTCCTGACCTCGTGATCCACCCGCCTCGGCCTCCCAAAGTGCTGGGATTACAGACGTGAGCCACTGTGCCTGGCAACCTGTATTCCACTCTTTTGGGTATACACCTACAAGTGGAACTGTGGAGGTCAGATGCTAAGTCTACATTTAACTTACTGAGGAAGCCAAGGACTTCTTTTGATGGTTTCTCCCAATGCACAAGTTTTATCTAACCAGCCACTTTAGCATAACACTGCCTTTCTCACTTCCATCAACTTTTTGTTTCCTAATCCAAGTGATCCCTATCATCGAGTTTTTTCATCACAAGCAATCACTGTAAATAATCATGTCACGGCTGAGCATGGTGGCTCACACCTGTAATCTCAACACTTTGCGGGCCTGAAGTGGGAGGATCACATGAGGCCAGAAGTTCAAGACCAGCCTGGACAACACAGCTGGCTAAAAAAAAAAAAAAAAAAAAAAAAATTGGCCGGGCACGGTGGCACACACCTGTATTCCCAGCTAAACTACTCAGGAGGCTGAGGTGGAAAATCACTTGCGCCTAGGAGTCAGACGTTACAGTGAGCTACGATTGTACCACTGCAATCCAACCTGTTTAACAGAGTGAGACCCCATCTCTCTCTCTCTCTCCCAAAAGAAAAAAAAATTATGTCAAGCTGACATAATTCTGGCTGAAGGCAAAGATACAATGTTCTGGGCTGGGCGCAGTGGTTCACTTCTGTAATCCCAGCACTTTGGGAGGCTGAGGCTGGTGGATCACTTGAGGTCAGGAGGTGGAGACCAGCCCGGCCAACGTGGCGAAACCCCGTCTCTACTAAAAACACAAAAATTAGCTGAGCATGGTGGCGGGCACCTGTAATCCCAGCTACTCGGGAGGCTGAGGCAGGAGAATTGCTTAAACCCGGGAGGTGGAGGTTGCAGTGAGCCGAGATCGTGCCATTGCACTCCAGCTTGGGTGACAAGAGCGAAACTCCATCGCAAAAAAAAAAAAAAAAAAAGATACAATGTTCTTGTTAGTCTTTGTCCTTTACCGTGTACTGATGTCCTCTTGGTTTTTAAAAATATTTAACACTGTTTAGGGACACAAAGGAGGGAGGAAAAGACACCAGAACAGGTCATCTTTAAATGCCAAAAAGCCTGAGCTCTGGAGGCCTAAAAGCAGGAAAGTCTTAAAATACAAATGAGTTCACATCCCTCTGGCCCAGCTGGCCTTATTTCAGTTCAGCACATGAAACTTACTCCCATTCAGAGCTTTTTCATTTGCTCTCTGCTGGCTGGAATGTCCTTTCCCCAGTTCTTTTCATGGTTATCTCTTTATCATTCAAGGCTCAGTTCAAATGTCCCCTGCTACTGGGGACTCCTCCAATAAGACTGTCTAATATGGCTGCATTTTCATCATACCCTGGTATCATTACCCTGCTGTATTTTCTTCAGTGCATTACTCACTCTCTGAAATCTTTATTTGCTTGTTTTCCATCCTCTCCACTATAATATACATTTATGAGAATAAGGACCTTGTCTGACCTGTTTTCTGCTGTATCCCTAGTGCCCAACAGTGCCTAGAATGTGGCAGATGTTCTGAAAATATCTGATGAATGAACAATACTCTGACAGGCTTTGTAGCAGATGCTACATGTTGGGGAAGGGGAGAAGCACTTGTTTAAAAAGCACAACACGGGATACCTACTTTCAAGGGCCTGCATTTGTATTATGGAATAATATTAATAATTATACGGTGGTCTAACATTAAAATATAATTCAGAGATCTCCACCTTTTACTTCCACCATTCTTAGTTACAAGGGTAAGGCAAAATGGTTTTGAATGGCAAACATTCGCATAAAGAATTTTCTCTTGTTATCTTAAGTCTGTTATGTATTTATTTATTTATTTTTTTGAGGCAGAGTCTCACTCTGTCACCCAGGTTGAAGTGCAGTGGTGCCATCTCGGCTCCCTGCAAGCTCCGCCTCCCGTAGTCATGCCATTCTCCTGCCTCAGCCTCCCAAGTAGCTGGGGCTAGAGGCGCCTGCCACCACGCCCAGCTAATTTTTTTGTATTTTTAGTAGAGACAGGGTTTCACCGTGTTAGCTAGGATGGTCTCGATCTCCTGACCTCGTGATCCACTTGCCTTGGCGTCCCGAAGTGGTCTGTTATCTCTTTTTTTTTTTTTTTGAGACGGAGTCACGCTCTGTCACACAGGCTGGAGTGCAGTGGCTGGATCTCAGCTCACTGCAAGCTCCGCCTCCCGGGTTTACGCCATCCTCCTGCCTCAGCCTCCCGAGTAGCTGGGACTACAGGTGCCCGCCACCTCGCCCGGCTAGTTTTTTTTTGTTGTTGTATTTTTTAGTAGAGACGGGGTTTCACCGTGTTAGCCAGGATGGTCTCGATCTCCTGACCTTGTGATCCACCCGCCTCGGCCTCCCAAAGTGCTGGGATTACAGGCTTGAGCCACCGTGCCCGGCCTGTTATCTCTTAATGATAGCTTTAGAAATCTATTTTCCTCAACTACTTCCTACCAGCCCTTGGTGTCCAATGGGCTGGTAGGAATCAGCTCTACCATTACCTATAATTAGGCAACTCACTTCTTTAAAGTATAGATAAGTTCATTATTCATTCATTCGTTCACTGAATAAAAAGTTACTAAGGATCTATCATGTGCCAGGCCCCACACTAAGTGAACACAGCAGGGAACAAAATGGGATCTCTTAGATCATGAAGCTAACATTCTAGTGATGGTGAAGGGAAAGAAACAACAACAACAAAAAAAGATACTGGAAATCACCAAAAGGCAAAGCGTGGAACAAGGCTGCCAGACACAACACTAGTACATTTCCTTTTGGTTCAATGGTGATGAAGAGAAGATCTGAAAAGAGACTGGAGAAAACGTTTTGTTCATTCATGCAACAAATTAGTTATTGTGCACCTTCTATGAGACAGGTAATCTGCTACGCAGTGCAGATGATCAGGAACAAAACAGACAAGGAGCTTCTTCATGAGCACATAATATTCCAGGGAGAGAGAAAGATAGCAAAATGGATTTTAAAAAAATCAGTGATGAGTGCTGTATGGAGAAATAAAACAGATTAACGTGACTGGCACTTTAGACTGGGGGAAGATAAATCAAGGAAGAATTCTAAGAAGGAAACACTTAACCTAAGTCTGAATGATGAGAAGTAACCAACTAGCCTGTCAAAGTTTGGGCAGAGAATATTCCAGTCACAAGGAACAACTAGTGCAACACATCCTAAGGCAGTAAAGAGCAAGGAATATTCAAAAGACAGGAGGAGAATGGTTGGGAGATGAACGGGAAGCCAGGAATCAGGTCATGTAGGACTTAGGCTACTGTGTGGAGACTCAAGAGTGGAAGCAGGGAGACCAGAGAAGAGGCTATTGTAATGTTGACCTAGATTAGGGTGATAATAGTAGAAAACACTGTTAGCTTTATGATGCAAAGTTTCCCTTTGGGTTACACTTGTTCTGTGATATTATCTCACTCCCATGGAGCAGAGTAGGGTAGGGGTGTCACTTTGCCAATAAAGGCCCCCAAAGCATAGGGTGCTGTAGGGTGTGTCTGAGTGTGCCTGACAACCAACCAGCCATACCTACACCTTTTTTTTTTTTTTTTGAGACAGAGTTTTGCTCTTGTTGCAGTGCAATGGCATGATCACAGGTTACTGCAACCTCCGCCTCCCGGGTTCAAGCAATTCTCCTGCCTCAGCCTCCCCAGTAGCTGGGATTACAGGCGCCCACCACCACGCCCAGCTAATCTTTGTATTTTTAGTAGAGACAGGGTTTCACCATGTTGACCAGGCTGGTCTCTACCTCCTGACCTCAGGTGATCCACCCACCTCCACCTCCCAAAGTGCCAGGATTACAGGCATGAGCCACCACACCCGGCCCACACTTTTTTTTTTTTTTTTTTTTTTGAGATGGAGTCTCGCTCTGTCGCCCAGGCTGGAGTGCAGTGGTGCAATCTTGGCTTACTGCAACCTCTGCCTCCCGGGTTGAAGCAATTGTCCTGTCTCAGCCTCCCAAGGAGCTGGGACTATAGGTGCCTGCCACGACGCCCAGCTAATTTTTGTATTTTTAGTAGGGACAGGGTTTCACCTTGTTAGTCAGGCTGGTCTCGCCTGACCTCAGGAGATCCACCCACCTCAGTCTCCCAAAGTGCTGGGATTATAGGCATGAGCCACTATGCCCGGCCTACACTTTTAAATTCTTGAAACTTTGCCTTGAATGAGCTACAAGTGCCAAGTCCATGACAGGGAATGCTTGAAAACAGGGAAGACTTCAACCACTGGAGAAAACTACTTCTTGGTTTCACTTCCCCACAATGAGTACAAAACTCGAAAATGAAATGACTGGCTCTCTCGCAACACTAAGCTTGCCCATCTCCTAGAGGAAGTTAAAAGCTGCTCGTGGGTGAAGACAGGTGCAAGAGGAGGGGACTGGGACTGCGGTATTGCATTCTGCCACCATTTCCAACCGTCCATTTACCCAGGCCAGGATCCCTAATTCTACAAAAATGGAATGGGGAGGGGCAGAGGTAGTGGCAAATTCTTCCATGCCTTGACCCAATTTTATTCATTTTGTTGCCAAACCCAAGATGTTTTCTACAACAGCTATCCCCAACCTTTTTGGCACCAAGGACTGGTTTCATGGAAGACAATTTTTCCACGGGGGTGGGGGGTTGGGTGGTTTCGACATGAACCTGTTTCACCTCAGATCATCAGGCATTAGATTCTCATAAGAAGCACACAACCTGGATCCCTCACATGCGCAGTTCACAATAAAGGTCGTGCTCCTATGAGAATCTAATGCCGCAGCTGATGTGACAGGAGGTGGAGCTCAGGATGTAAGGCTCGGTCACCCGCCGCTCACCTCCTGCTATGCGGCCCGGTTTCTAACAGGCCACCGACGGGCCTGGTGGTTGGGGGCCCCTGCTTTTCAGGGTGGCTGAACTGAAGCTTATTCTTCAAGCTTGCACTATTCAAGATGCATGATATCTGATCATTGTTTCCATATGCAAAGCAGGCTGCAATCCATGCCTGGGGAAGAGGGGCGCGAACATGCAGGCTAATGCGCCTGCATTTCTCCCCGCCAATCCCTCCCCGCTACCACAGCTGGGAGCCCAGTGGCGTCGGCCTCGCACCGCTCTCCGGTTCTGACACTTGGGATTCGAGGGTTGGATCTCTCCAGGCACCACCCTCTCCCCCTAGGTGAAGGGAAGCGGAACACTGTTCCCTCGGCTGCATCTTTGCAAGGGAGGATGCAAGTATAAATGCTGCAAAAGCACGGGTGCGCCGGGGCCCTGAAGCGTGCATGCCCGATGGTCATAACATTCCCCCGGCTCAGAGTCCACTAGGCCTGTAGGACTCCGGGAAGCCCTGGGACCACTGCTACAGACCACCTCCCGTCAGCTCCCGGTGTCCAGCGTCCATCCACGAGCGCGCGCTCTTCCAGGCGGCCCGACAGCACCTGCGCGCGACGTCCCACGCCCCTGTTACCTTGTAGAAAGTGACCGTATCCAGGGGAAGGGCGCCCTTAGTGTGCAGGCCGCTGCCGCCATGCGGAGCGGAGAGGAGCAGGAAGCCCAGGAGAAGGGGAAGCAGCTGGGAGAGAGACGCGGCGCGGGACACAGCGGCAGCCATATCGCCGGGTTCCGGGCAAGGGAGGTAGGTAAGCCGTAGTGGAGAACGCCGGGAGTCAGCGATCACGTGACTGGGGGGGGGCGGGCTCACGCGCGCTCACGTGGACACCCCAGGAGGCTCCCGTCTGTCTAGGGTGAGAGGGTGGGGCCACGTGAGGGGCGGGGGTGGGGGGGGTGGGGAGAAAGCTGCCGCGCACGCGTACTCGGCGAAGCTCGCGTAGGGCCTGGGTAAAAGGGCGGGCCACGTTGGGGGCGGGAAAATGGGCTGCTGCGCGCGCGCACTCGGTGAGTCTCCCGACCGGTTCGCCCACTTCCTTTCCTGCTCCGCGTGAGAAGAGGCGCGAAGCGCGCGTAGGAACGCTACAGCAATTCCTTTGCTGCCCTTCCTTTCCTTCGACGATGACAAGGCCTGCCATCCCTTCTTACTAACTTTGGGCCGTCAGGCAGTTGGTTGGGACCCGCTCCAACCCTAGGTCAGTCTGTCAGTCAAGTTCAGCTGTTATTATCAGTCAGGCTCCGTCACCGCCCTGACCCAGGCGGGCAGTGGCTACGCGGCTTCCCTGAGCTTCTTGGCCAGGCTTGGCGGTTAGTGTGGCAGGCAGGGCCGTCTTAGGCCCGCCCTGAGGTGAGCACCTCCCCTGGGAGACGCCAGGCTCCTGGGATCCGCCCAGCCAAGGCCCACCCTCCAGGAACCCCAGACGCAATTCTAATAATTATGTTCCGCAGGTCGACTCGGTCCTTGGCTTGTGCCAGATGCTGGCGTTGCCTGCGAGGCTACGGAATAGACAGAAACAACACAGTTCTGTGTTGAAGGCACGCACCTTGTTGGGGGAGGAGGCGGCATAGGAATAATCATCAATTACAGTGTAATTGCTGTAAAATATTATTTCTGGCTGGACGCGTTGACTCACGCCTGTAATCCCAGCACTTTGGGAGGCCGAGGCAGGTGGATTGCCTGAGGTCAGGAGTTCGAGACCAGCCTGGCCAACATGGTGAAACACCGTCTGTACTAAAAATACAAAAATCAGGCGAGTGTGGTGGCACGTGCCTGTAATCCCAGCTACTCAGGAGGCTGAGGCAGGAGAATTGCATGAACCCAAGGGGCGGAGGTTTGGGTGAGCCCAGATTGCACCATTGCACTTCAGCCTAGGTGACAGAGCGAGACAAGGTCTCAGAAAAAAAAGAAAAGAAATTTAAAAAAGACTGTATTTACTTATTGTAAAGAGGCAGGGATTCAGCCAGCCCTGCTCAGGAGCATCAGAGGAAGTTGTAGACAGGAGGTGACTTTTGAGCTGGACCTTGAAATAAGACGGAGTGTGCATGAGGCAAAGAGAAACAGGGCATTTCTAGCAATGGGAAAATTATGCACAGGCATATTGGGGAACTGGTTGAGATCAGTCTGTGTAAAGGCGAACTGGGGCAGCAGCTGCTGCCACTCTTTTTTGTTTTGGTTGATTATTACTGAGCTTCCATGGGGCGGATTTGAAAAGATCTCACCACGCTAAAGAGTTTGGAGTCACCAGAAGTTTTAACCAGGAGAATAAGGTTAGATTTGTGTGTAGACACAGCACTCAGGTCAGCCTGGGCAATGTAATGAAACCTCGTCTCTACGATAAGTAGAAAAATTAGCCATGTGTGTTAGTGTGTGCCTGTGGTCCCAGGTACTTGGAAGGCTGAGGCAGCAGGATCACTTGGACCTGAGAGGTCGAGGCTGCAGTCAGCCCTAATTGCTGTCACTGCACTCCAGTCTGGTCAACAGAGCAAGACTCTGTCTCAAAACAAAAACATTACTCAGGAATGAAGGGAATGGATTGAAAGTGAGAAGATTGGACTGAAGCCAATTAATGGGGTATGGCAGTAGTCTAGTTGGAAGAGGTTAAGGTCATACAGTAGGACATAATAAGGCTGAAGTGTGGATGGAATTGACAAACTTTTAAAGGGTAGAATTCACAAGATTTGATGAACAAATGCATGTAAGGGTAAGAGAACATATACAATGCATTGTAAGGGACTTACTGCTATAATTAACCATTGTATGTATCCAAAATTTATGTGTATAAATAGTCATCAGTGATAACAGGATCCAATCATGGACAACCAATTTGATTATATATAAATTTTGAAAGAGTCGTGTGTGTGTGTGTGTGTTTGGGGAAGTTCAGAAAAATTTGAGTTTGCCCTATTGATGGCAGCCAGCTGCAGCAGGGAGGTATGACTAGGGCTGCACACTCCATGAAGCCTGTGGGAACCCTGCCCCTTCTGAGTTGACTCAGGAGCCCCTGGTGCCATTGTGGCTGCCCTCCCAGGTGTAGGACCTGGGCATCTCCGCAGCCTGCACCCTTGGGGGACCAGCTAGACACCCTACCGCAATCCCTGCAAGCTCAGGAGTGTCTGCTCCCACCGCCTGGCCTGTCTCCACTCTCATGCCCTGCTCCAATGTCAGAGCAGGCTTGGGGCCAAGAATGGCAGCGGGAGGCAGATTGATTCCTGGGTAGAAGAGGGTGAGTCCCCAGTAAGACCCCCACCTTCAGGTCAGGGAGGGCCTGAAGACAGGGGTCCAGGCTGCCAGTCCTGCAGACTGGAGTAGGGACTCGTGGTGCATCTTCTTGGCCTGCCATGGCTGCCCATGGACCAATCGGCATGTACTTCTCTCTGAGGTCCATAAAAGCCCTGGGCTCACCCAGAGCAGGGCAGAGGACTGCCAGAGGACCAAGAGGGCAGAGACCTATGGGTCAACCAGCCTAAGAGAGAAGCTACCCTCTCTGATGATAGTTGGAGATGATGGAACAACCAGTTGCAGAAAGGACCTACCCTGCCTGCTGAGAGCTGCAGAGACAACCTGTGGGCAGAGAAGAGCCACCCTCTCCAGGGCCTCTTCTCTTCTGAGAGCTGCAGACATCAGGACGATCAATTGCAGAGGGGAGCCACCCTCTCCAGGGCCTCCTCTCTACTGAGAACTGAATACTCGATGGACAACCTGCCTACAGAGAGGAACTATCCACTGCAGGTCTCCTCTGAGCCGCTGTAACGCTCAATAAAGCTCATCTTTGTCTTTTTCACCCTTCATTGTCCACATACCTCATTCTTCCTGGATGCAGGACAAGAACTCGGGTAAAGGCACTGTGGCCACAGAGGTTTCTGGCCAGAAAATGGATACCCCAAAGAGGTGGTGAAACAAGGCTTTATGTAATTGGTGGAAATAGAGTTAAACCTTGGAAGAAAGAACATTTTAGAGAACAAGTGAAAAAGGAGCAGATGTGGGAATGAACATGATGCTTTGGGAGAATGACTGGCTTGGTTGGAGGGAGTTCTCAAAACGGGAAATAGTAAAACAGTTTTAAGCCCAGGTAGGGGAGAATCTTGAAGTCAAACTAAGAATTTTCTGTTCTGTAGTCTATATGGAGCTATTAAGAGTTTTAAAATTTCTTTATAAAACATTTAAACTTCTAAAATTATTCACTTCTCAGTATAAGTAACTTTGGTTATACCTAGTTAGTAGAATTGATCAACAGTGACTATCTAGTCATGGTTAGTTTAGAAGTAGGTTTTTATTTTTTATTTTTTAATTTTTTTTGAGACAGAGTCACTTGGTCACTCAGGCTGGAGTTCAGAGGCCTGACCTCAGCTCATTGCAACCTCCACCTCCTGGGTTCAAGTGATTTTCCTACCTCAGCCTCCTGAGTAGCTGGGATTACAGACGTCTGCCACCACACCTGGCTAATTTTTTTTTTTTTTTTTTTTTTTTTTTGTATTTTTAGTAGAGATGGGGTTTCACTGTGGTCTTGATCTCCTGACCTCGTGATCCGCCCGCCTCGGCCTCCCAAAGTGCTGGGATTACAGGCGTGAGCCACCATGCCTGGCCTAAAAGTAGGTTTTGTAGAAGTAAGGGAAGAGGATTGGTTGGATAGGGAAAGGAAAAATTGGCACTTTTGCTATAAACTGCAAAAGTAATTGTCCCAATCCTTCCTTTGAATAGCGCTCTGGTCCTAGTCAGTTGTGTTAAGATATAATTAGATTTTTGGGCTGGGCACGGTGGCTCACACCTGTAATCCTAGCGCTTTGGGAGCCCAAGGCGGGTGGATCACCTGAGGTCAGAAGTTTGAGACCAGACTGGCCAACATGGTGAAACCGTGTCTTTACTAAAAATATAAAAATTTGCCGGGTGCAGTGGTGGGCACCTGTAATCACAGCTACTCAGGAGGCTGAGGCAGGAGAATTGCTTGAATCTGGGAGGTGGAGGTTGCAGTGAGCTGAGATTGCACCATTTCACTCCAGCCTGGGTAATAAGAGTGAAACTCCGTCTAAAAAAAACAATAATAATAATAATAATTAGATTTTTGGCCTCGGGACCTTGATGATGATCTACAAAAATAAACTGAGTATAGTTCCGGCATATTTTGGAAGTCATAAAATCCCACAGTTGACACTGATGTGGAAAATCAAAAGAGTTACCCTGGGTGTTGTATGGAGGTGAAGAGGAGGGGGCATGTTGCATGAATGTCCACAAGACTCAGCATAGCAACTGGAGTGAAGAGGAAGAAAAATAGCATGATTGGCTAAGGCAATTAATATATAAACTCCCATTTTTCTGTCCTTAAGCCAGTGAGGCCCCAGTTTCACTGACCTCTTTGCTATTCCTGGTATACACAATGCATGTCCCTTACCTCAAGACCTTTGTATTTTCTCCCTCTGGAACGCTTTCTTTTAGGATATCCACATGGCTGACTACTTGACTTCCCTCAAGTCTTTGCTGAAACCTCAACCTCCTACTGAGACCTATCCTGACCATCTTTTAAAAATTGCTTCTACCTGACTGCCCTGCTTTCCATCTCCTTTCCCCTCATTATTTTTTTCCATAGTACTTTCAACTTGTAACACACTATATAATTTGCTTAGTTTGATTTTGCTTATTACCTTTCCTGTGAGGGCTAAATTTTTTTTTTTTTGTCTGAAGGAGAAACTATTCCATGTCTGTGTCTCAAAATACTTTTGGCTCTTTTTACATTCCCTTCTTGGACCACATGCAAGCAGACTTCAAAAAGTTCATGGAAAAAATGAGATTAAGGCCAGATGCAGTGCCTCACACCTATAATCCCAGCACTTTAGGAGCCTGAGGCAAGAAGATGCTTGAACCCAGGAGGTCAATACCAGCGTGGGCAACATAGGGAGACCCCATCTCTACAAGCAATTTAAACAACTTTTAGCTAGACATGGTGGCACATGCCTGTGGTCCCAGCTACTCAGGAGGCTGAGGTGGGAGGACCCTTGAGCCCAGGAGTTCGAGACCAGCCTGGGCAACATAATGAGACCTTGCCTCTAACAACAACAACAAATCAGCACAGAAGGAGATTATATGTGTTGGGATGTTTATTGCTGCATTGTTTGCAGAAAACAAAAATAATCTGCATGTCCATCATTAGAAGAATTGCTGGATAAATGATTTTATGTGGAATATTATGTAACAATCAAAATG